ATGGTGATAGATTAGTGAGGTTGGTTTTAATCTACTATGTTTATTTTATTTTTCTATTAACTGCAAGGTGATTCTAAATATACTGTTTAAACTTTCTTGTAGGCTAAAAATTAAGGTTCATAATGCCTTGTGAGTTCATAGTATTTGTGTATTCAGTAGTAAGTCAAAGTGATATAATTGAAATGTCCTCTAGATATGCTCACTATACCCTGTGGTTTGTGTTACTTATATGTGGGAGTAGTAATAAAATAAACTCTAAGTCAGTGTAAATGAGAGTGACAAGAGAAATCCCTCATCGTTGTCTACAGGCCACCACCAGTAGGTATCATACAGGTAGCACTCTTCCAAACCTGAGGATGATAAACTATGTCATGACTAACTCTCTCACTCCTCACAAATGAATTGGGGAAAGGAAGCCTCAGGCAAAGGATATTCAGATTCCTGCAAAAGAAAAGTCTATAAAAAGGAAAACTTAACCTTCCAGATCCATTTATGTTTACTGGGGCTCATGCTGGTCTGTGCAACACACGTTCTCTGGGCTGTGAATAAAGGAACATTTCTGCTATATTTTCAACTGTTCTCAGACACACAATGCCAACCAAGCCTTGTGCCTCATCTGAAGTTGAACATTCCTTTTTCAAATCCCCAGTTTTTCCTTTCCTGACTGTAGAGGTGAAGATTTTTGAACACTTGGGGTTATTTAGTCTGGAGAAAAGAAGGCTCAGGGGAAACCTTATTGCTCTCTATTGCTACCTGAAAGAAGGTTGTAGACGGGGGGGGTGGGTCTCTTCTCCCAAGTAACAAGCAATAGGACAAGAGGAAACACCTTCAAGTTGCACCAGAGGAGGTTCAGATTCCATATTAGAAGAAATTTCTTCCCTAAAAGGGTTATCAAACATTGGAATGGGTTACCCAGGGAAGCAGCGGAGTGACCGTCTCTGGAGGGATTTAAAAGGTGTATAGATGTGATGTGAAGGAACACGGTTTAGTGGTGGACTTGGCAGAGTTGAGTTAATGGTTGGACTCAATGATCTTAAAGATCTTTTCCAACCTAAATTTGGTTGGATTGATTCTAAGATTCTATGTACTGGCCTCTAGGAAGAAAATTAGCTCTTGAAAGGAATCATGTGCCTAAGCCATTCTTTCCCAGCTAGTAGATTTTTGAAATGGCACTGACAGGATTTCTATGGCACCCATTGACAGTAAGGCATAAAGATGGCATCTAAGGAGGAGAAAGAATTGAAAGGCTGTACATTGTATATAAAATTTAGAGATGTTTTACTGTAATTTTCCACATTTTCCCAGCTAGCAGTACATTGTCTGTAGTTTAAACTCCTATTTCATGTTTTTTGTGTATAGTGCCTTCTTCTATCCCCTGCATGTTTTGTCATTGATTTTGAGTCTTATTTTACCAATCACAGCTGGGTGCCCCTGCAGAATGGGTTTAAAGGATACATACAGAGCTTCTACAAGCCCCAGTACTGGCAGATACTTCTGCAGCCACCATCAACCTATCCTAAATGCATGTTGACCAGGCACGTATCACCTTTAAAAATTTAAATGCAGACTTGTCAGCATCTTTCATTGTCCTTCCGGGGGTACAACTGACAGGTATATAAAGACATATTGATAATATATAAATATCAGTTATTTCAATATTAATTCCAGATTTCTCTTTGTGTTAGCATAGTCCATGCCTAACATTGACTTTAATCAGTCAACTTGCTCTATCATTGCAAGGTGACCATTCATGGAAAATAATGTCATGTTTAGCTTCCTTAATCACATACATCTAATTTTTCTGACATTGATTTTTACTTCAGGTTATCCATAGAAGGGTTTATACAGCACATATCTCTAACACCTTTCTGCCCAAGAGATGTTAACAAAGATAATTCAACTTCATTGCAATAATAGCATTCTCTTTACATGAATAAAAATAATGAGCTACATTTCAAGGAGACTTTTTGACTTGTGGTCTGAATGCAGGATTTGGTTTTTTTTTTTTTTTTTTTTAAAACTCTCTCGTGTATTGCAACACCTCAGAGAAACTTTTTAATTTCTCTGTCATGGCATTTCCCTCTGTAAACTTATGTACTGTATCTCACAGAAGTGTCAGGAGAATCAATCCTTGTAAAACTGTAGTGGGGATATCAGTAAAAGAGAAAGGTTTGGAATTCCAAGGGTTTTGGTGTGTTTGCATGGTTGTCTAGATGGACAGGACTGTGGGTTACCCAGACTCCCACAGTATATGCCATGGAGTGAAACCAAGGCACCTTAGGAGCATTCACAGCCACTGAAGTCCCTCATTCCTTCTGCATTACAGAAGGGGAAGAGAAGGAGTATGAAATTAAATTTATTTATTGTTGGCTTCACTCAATCTTCTGAAAACCAGAAAAGGTTCTTTCCCCACTTATCTATTCTTGCCAGAGTTTCTAGTGCCTAGACAAGACACTAAGATGGTAAAATAAATTGTGCACAGTAATTTGACTGGTGCCTGTGGGGGCAACAAAAAATAGTTCAGTCTTCCTCAGAGTCCTCTCCCCCTTTCGCCCCCCTCACACACACCCTCTTCTCTGCAGTTTCTAATGAGCAATTTGATTTGATCTAAAATAAGAACATCAGGGGGGAATTGCAGGAGGAGCTGTCTGTATGTTCACATAATAAATGCATTCTGGAGATGGGAGAGCTGAGATGATTGAGATTGACTTTGGCACACATTGGTCTTCAAAGGGTACAAAATACTGCAGGAGTACCACTGGAGATCAGTGGAACAAACTGATCTCCTGAGCCTGTAGGCAGCTTCCAAGTTGGTCCTCCGCTGGCAGGGAAGCATGCAGAGTGCATCCAGCCCAGAGAGAGGCAACACTCACTTTCGGACAGGAAAGTAAAATTACTAAGATCCAGTCACACATAGAGACAAAATCCTAAAGCAGCACCTTCATAGGTGCTTTGTAATTGCACATTCCGTTAGGTCAAGGACTGTAAAATAAGAAATTTCTAGCCAAACCTTCTTATATTATAACTCTTTAGACCTACTTATATGATATACTGCATAGGCAATATTTAGAAACTGTATTAGCAATAAATCTAATCATAATCATCCACAGTGCCAACATTAAATTTCTGAGAAAATAGGTAAGAACATTTAGATGAACGTACATACTTACACAGCTGTCACTTAATAAGACAACAAATGCTTCAAAAACACCTGAGAAGCAATAACTTGGCAACAAGACACTTCCACATACATTGATTTAGTTTCTGTGATGCAAGACACAAAGGCAGGTCAGGAATGCCACCGGAAAATGCCCAACTCTACTGACAGTCATACACAATTTAAAAAAAAACAGATAGTGGCATTCCTATCCAGTCTGCAGTCATTTAATGTATTTAGTGTTTCAAAAGTGGTGTGATATTGGTTTAATGATGCTATTAGTAATATCTGCAGAGAATGTATGAATATAAGCAATTACTTTTAGGATATTCTTTCTTGGTAGAAAAACATCTAATTCTACTAATTGCCTCTACTTCTGTTTCTGTTAACTGTACACTGTATACATTGCTTATCAGAAGCAATGAATTTTAATTAACATTCATGTTGAGAAATATAATTCAAAACAAACATATCCAATCAGTTTATTTTATTAAATTATTGCATAGTTATTTCCAGAGCTAAAGCATTATTCCTAGGTATGAATTAACAAAGAGATCTACAATTCGCCATGAAAGAAAGTTAAAAAAAACTGTACATGAAACAGACTACACACTATCCCTAACTAATGCCTGAAATCAGACTGTTACATTAAACACTACTATGAATACATAATAGGATTTATTACTACGTAGTCTTTCAACTCAGAAAATATACTGTAGATTCTGATAAATTTAGGAAAAGTATGAAGAACTGAAAAACCAAATCACTGGTCCAAGGCCATCCAAGGACTTTACAGCATGGCAAGAAATTGAATCCAGATCTCATGAAAACTGGTTCAGTACTTTTACTACCAGATGTTAGAGATACGACTGATCAGTCATTGGGATTTTATAGAGACTTGAAATGTGAAGCAGTTTCAGAGTGTAATTTCAGCTTCCTCCCTGCATAAACCCACAGAAACTGGAGGAAGTGGTTCACGGAATTTAGGGAATTAAAGCTATCCTGGAAATCTGAAGTTTCTCTTGTTTTAATTCTCTTAACACCTGTTTTTGTGACTAATACTGATATAAGGATAACAATACACAATTAAGTATTCCTTTGATGTTGTCGTATGTATAAATGTTTGAAAATATACCTGAATTTCACTAACTGATTTATAGGAAGATTGGAGGTTTTGTTTAAAAGCTAGTGACTTTAAGGAAATTCCAATAAGATCCTTGATATGTCCATCACCCATGTCTGTGTACCTGGCTGATTTCCACAATACCTTACATGCTTTTGGAAATGTAACATTCTTCTTTTCAGAACTATTCTTACTCTTCTTTGCAGGTTCTGGAGTAAATCACCCATGAAAGCTCTAGGTACTTCTCAAAACCCAATGTAAATGCCTAAAATTAACCGTCTCCCCATTTGAACCACTAGTGATGTTATATATATTCAAGACTGCATTTACTGTGATGGATTTCACTAAAGAATAAAACTAGATTCAGCACTACTATTTAAAAAAGAACACGAAGTCTCAGGTGTGACTATTTTCCCACTGTCTAGCAAAGGTTTGCTTTTATTGGCACCTTAGTATTCCTGATCAATGTCATTTAATTCCTGACCTGCACACAGCAAACAGAACCAACAATCCTATACATTTCTCTGCTCCTCTTACACATGCGTGAACATAAACTGACAGTGTGGATTCACTGTTGGAACCATGAAACTTCAGTCACACTGACACTCAGAAAGTTGTCATGAACCAGCATATGGAGACAATATGACATTTCTTAAGGTACAAGAGATGACACAAAGTGGCATGCTGCTATTAAATACATTTAACAGCCAAGACACACACCTTTCAGTCACTGTCAGTGTTGCAGTCATTTCAAGTGGGCAATGGCAGCTCTCATATATCATCAAGGAAATTGTCAGTAATCCCTGGAGACCATCTCCGTTATAATTGGCACTGGTAGAGAAGGAGGATGTGTCAGGTAGAAAGATATTCACACACCGTCCTGAGATGACAATAGGGGCAGTTAACACTCCTTCAGACTTTAAAAACTGCTGTGGAAGTCATAGCATTTTTTACAGCTGCTTCTCACAGTATCGTGACATTTAAAGTGTATGCTAAAATCTATCAAGCACATATAAAACATAATTATGCTGTAACATGCATTATAAACCTAATATGAACAGGATTAGTCTATCAGTGTCTTGAATTTGTAATGCAGACAATAGAATATAATGCCTTCAAAAATGCTATTTCTACGTTTATTATTCAATTAGCATGTATACTCTTAAGAAAATAAAACCTTTTGAGGGGCACAAAACATTTTTACTGCACATGTAGAGCATGCAATTTAGTTCTTAACAATTGCTTCTGCCTTTAAATTATGTTATTAGTATGCTAAGAATATTCTTACATGTTGTCATCACTCTTTAAATTTCACTAAAAGGTACTTGCTATACATCTGCCAAAATGTCTCTCACATGTAAAGGGTTTTACTTTCAGTCTGTTCAATTAAAACCAGAAATGTATTTATCTAAACCTTATTCTTATGCTAATACAGATTCTATAGAACAGATTTGAGTTAATTTTTGTAATACTATTACCAATCTTTCCTATGTTAAAGGATTTACACTAACTGGATGATGTTTCAGAACAATAACTGGAATCCTACTGAATACTTACACATCCTTTACCTAGTTTTTCAGACGTAGTTCGGTACTGTATAGAGGTTTTTTTGGTTTGGTTTGGTTTTTTTTGTTTGGTTTTTTGTTTGTTTGTTTGTTTTGATTTTTAAACAAATTTTCTGGGGCATAACCTTAAGATAGAGCTCTGAGGTGGATCTGTCTTCTTAATTCCTTATGTGCGCTCCTAAGACCAGAAGCTGATTTTTTATGGAATAGAAACTAAAAGATAGACTTTTTAAAATAATGGAACCTGACAACAAAATAAAAACAACAACAAAAATCTCTCCATTTACTGTTACGTTCTTACAGAGTGCTGCCTTTTCAACAACAAATCCCAGGCTGACTATAAAAGCTGGCTGCTGTGTCCCTGAGCCCCTTCCTGAGCTTGCTCTCAGAAGCCTGTACCACACTGCAGTTTCCATGCTATCTGTTTCTCTCTGTCCATCCCTTCCCCCACTTTTGACTTGAAGAGACAACTGAAACTTTGTTCATAGTCTTCTCTTCCCTGTCATTTCAATAGCCCCTGGAGACCGGCAGTTCTCCTCTTCAGAGGATCCTGTCTAATTCAGCCTCCAGGGGCAAGAAGCAAGGCAACTATCCATCTATCTGGGTGGCCATTCCTTGTTAAAGGAACATATACTACCGTGCATGAAAAAACTACAGTTATCCAACCTGTCACATCTTTTGCAAAGAAAACTAACATAAGACAGCTATTTTAAAGCCCTTGCATTACATCCTTTATGTTAACACTTTGAAAGGAAAACAGACAGATGCTTAATAATCACTTTCATTGCTAATAATACAACTGATAATTTAATGCAAAAAGATTTTATCATAGATGGAATTGTTAGTGTCTTTGGAGTTATTCTTCCTTACTACTTCTTATTAAAAGATTTCAACTGAAACTCCTTTAAACTTTGTCAAAATTGTACTTCTGGATTGAAATTTTCTCCACTGGGTGTCTGTCAGGGAGATGATTTACTTAGGGTTTTTTTTACAAATGTTTCAGCAAAAAAAGATTCAGTCATTTCTGCACAAAGCTAACACAAAGATACACTTTCACTGATCTTAAATTATAACGAATTCAGCAGTTGCTTTAAGAACATTTTGCAGCAAAGTCTTGACCTTTTAGCAGAATTTGTTTTTAAGCCAGAGGTGTTTCTGAAACCATTCCAGTGATAAAACTGCTTTTTTCCATTCTGGAAACCACTGAAAAATATCCTTCCACAGTAGCTTGGAAAGTTCTAAAGGTTTGACAAATATATTCGTCAGTTTCTGCCTTTCAACTCAGAGCTGTGACTTGTTTGAGCAAGTTTCACACCTGGAAAGTGATGGAGTCTGGTCCAGAACACAGTTACAAAGACCTAGGAAGACTCTTCCTGAATTTCAATGCCACTTAATGTGGTCCATGGGATGTGAACCTGTGAACTAATTAATAGTTTATTTTCCTAGAGTTTTAGGTTATTTCCTCTTTGGTGCTCAAGTGACATGGCAGTGCAGGAAATATGAAAAAAAGCACCACAACATCTGAGTCAAGGACAAAAAACAGATGGCAAGACACAACTGTTGAGGCAAGGAGCAGATTGGGACTAGGAACCTGAGGGAGTGCGAGAAGGTTGAAGATGGGGAAGAGAGTGTAATTAATAAGCAAAGAAATGGACTCTGAGAAGAGGAACATAAGGAACATGGGAATTAGTGCTGTGAAAGCTACACGAGTCATGAATTGTGATCAAAAGACAGGATGAGTCTGAAAGAACAAAATGAGGAAAAAAGGCAGAATAATAATACAAATGTAAGATTTGTCCTGAAAATCTGGAATAGTTATAGAGACAGAGTAGTCTCAACTGTGTAAGAATATAACAAACATTTATGGTAACAGATTGCAATACATGGGACACTGTTAGGTGATACTCAGAGAAGTAGATATAATAGATTAAGTTGACATCCCAATCCAAGGTCTGTAGGAAAACCCAACACTGAAAATACACTGCTGTATAAACGTAATGGAATCACACCTTTCTCGGGTACGATTTTATACACTGTTTGAATTTGTTATTCTTTGTGTGTTAGGAGAGTTTTTGAAGCAGATTTAAAAATCTAATACATTTTCTTTTATGTCTTTATGAATATATGATGGGATTTCTGTGTTTTTTTCTTTTTTTTTTTTTGCATGTGTGTTTCTTTTTTCTTTCTTGAAGATGGAAGTTGCACTTTGAAAAACAGGTTAAAATAACAGAATTGTAGTGTCAAAACACTGAAAACTAAGTGATAGCATAAAAGTTTCCTTCAGTCTCTTCACCCGTTTTTGCTCCAAAGATGAATTCTTGTTTGTTTGGACACATAAGAAGTTTGTGTTTAAGCATGAGAATCGGAAAGAAGCCACCAAGAATTTCTGTTTCTGATTTTCTAGCAAACACAGATGTGTTTAGGAAATTGTCTTGGAGCTTAGCTCATAGCCCTTAAAGTTCCCTCGAAATAGATCAATTCTCTTTAGTAGCATGTGTAAGCATATTGTAGTAGCTGTGATCACAATACTAGTAAGACATCATGTGCTTTAAAACCCAATAGTTTTGAATGTTGCAGATGGCATCAAGACATTAACAAAGTACGGTATGTTCCTTGGTATTGGTTATTGGTGCAGCTGTTAAGTTAATGAAGTCAGTACATATTCAGTTTCAATTGTAGACACATTTTATTTGAGCTTTCATAGAACAGCTGTGAAATAAGTGCTATAATTAATGTTCTGTGGTTTACACTGAAATGTGTATATATAATATATATATGTACAATATATGATAAACTCCATTCAATTTATTTAGTTTCTTGTCCCTAAGAAGAAAGATCATCAGATAATTGCACTTTCTTCAGAAAACATTTAGAAGTTTCAAAGTCATCTTCATTTGTGCTTTCACCTGCCAAGCCATCATCAATAAAATTTACTATTAGATGAAATCAATTTCCTTTATTAAATTAATGCCATCTTTACATACCTAGATTTATCATGTACTCAGCATGCTAATACAGGTTATTCTAGTTGTACTTGAAGAAATAACTTGATTCTAGCTTTCTTTTGTATTAAGTTCATATAGGGTGTTCCAAATTTACTACTCCTAGGAAACTGTCATATAAAGGATAAAGCTCAAAGGGAAAGTCAAATGTTGAATTTAATCCCTTCGCAGGGGCAAGCAGGTAGGTAGACTAGGGAATATTGGGTTTTTTGTTATTTTAATTGCAGCTACTAGAAACCCTCACTTTCAGGCATTCTTGGTCAAATGCTTTCTTCTGCGGGGTAGCATGGTACGGAACTTAACAAAGTAGAATTGTCAACTCTTTTGAGAGACTGAGACTGAGTATAATCTGAGATTTTCTCAGACTCAAGCAAGTGATTTATAGATGTAGTTTTTCTTCCCCTCTCCTTCTGCCCTTTTTCTGTTTTCATTTGGAAAAAGGGTTGTTTGGCTTTTTTGTTTTCAGATGAGTTTCCAAATTCAGTTATATATACTTCACCAAATAAAGACTTCATATTAGTGTCACTCAGGTTTCTTGGGGTTAACATTATTCAGCTTTACTTATGCATTACATTATTTATTGTATTGTCTTGTACATTTTTTTATATTCCATATTTCCCCTTTTCCTTTACATACCTCTTAAATGCTCAAGTGACTATTCCAGAAGGCAACGGAGGTCTGAAAACTACAGGAACTCTTGTCTTAGTATTTTCTTCACAGAGTCACAAATCTTCTGTAACAAAATAGAATGGCATTTCTGCAGGATACATAAGTTGCCTATGTCATAGGTTTCAGACTTTTGTTATTTTCCTCAACAGGAAAATCACCTAGGGATGAAAGCTCATTATTTAAAAATAACGAAAAACTTAATTCACTACTAGTGTAGTTACATGTGTTCTACACTCCTACGAAGGTTTTTAGTGGCAAGGATCCTTCCCACACCAAGCCTCCTCTTTTGGTATATTTCCATTGAACTTAGAGCCAGAGGGAGCTCGGGAAGAAAAAGACCAAACATTTTTTACTGCACACTGAGGACCATGGCAATTCTGCTTCTCTCTTTCTTCATTAACAGGAAAATAAGGACAAAATATTTTCTTTTTTCTTCTTTGGGAGGTACAATGTATCCAAATATTTTACAAAGTAGGTTGCAAAGCTCTGGTCTGTAAGGGTAGAATTATGTCTACCATTGTTAGATACTTAAACAAAAAAGTCTTTTTTTTTCTCTTAAGTAGTAACATAAATCAGAGGAACCAGGAATTGTTCAACACCTTTGAAAAAAATCAGGCCATTCATATTGAGGTATTGAAATATGAGTTAGGACACTAAATTTAGTATCTACCACTGTTTGCATTCAGTAGTCATGGACTATGACCATTCTGTAATTCAACAGAGGACACTCTTTTCATCCTTTTGTACTCATGGCTCTTTGGACATGAGTGTTAGGAAGATACTGTGTTTAATCTTTGTTACTATCGAGTTTTCATTGCTGTTGGAATATTCAGGTATAATTACGGGTTGATTTTTTCAATTCTATGGTCCTCAGAGAACCTCTTATTTCCCTTTTCTTTTCTCTACTTTGAAGATCATGAATCACCACTACCCCTTACTAGTTCTCTATTCAGAAGAGCTCATGATACCATGGGATGGCTGCAGCGGTAAGCAGATCTGGGTTTTTTTTTTCCCATTCTTTACCCCTTTGTGCATTTTGCTCCCATATTTGTAGAAGGTAAAATCAGTCTCCAGGGGACACTAGATCCTTCCTGTACATATGATGAAGATCAACCTGGAAGGAATAAGGAAAATTATGGGTTTGCTTTTTCATAGCATATTAACTAATAGTTGTATCACAACATCAAAAGCAATGCATTGTATCTCATAACAGGTGTTCCAGGCATGTCTCTTCTAAGGTTAGGAAAACCAGGAGAGAATATGAATCTGCAAATCCCTTCTGATCTTTATTCTGCCTCTGAAACTACAAAACTATATTGCACTTGCACAAAGCATGCACAGAAAAGAGGAACCCTCTCTAATGGTCAGTTTATCCTTGTTTCTGTCAGTAGCCAGAAGAGTGACTTTTAGGAACTTGTTCCTCTGGTTTCCTTTAGACCACTTCCTCACAACGCCAGTAGCACTCAGGGGAGCATTAATGTATAAATGGGTTTGGTATAAGGTTAAGATACATCTGTCACTTTCTCATGTCTCTCCCACTGCCAATGACTTCTGCAGAGACAAGGGAGAGTTCAGCCTGTCCCCTTCTGTTAATAATTGAATGCCACAGCATTACTAGTTAGCTCTTTGATGATTATTGTTTTGGTAGAAGTATATTGCCTATACCTGGATATATCAAACTATATAGTACCCAGCCCATTTTCTCTTCAACCAGGCAGCAGTGGAAATTTACACTGGTGGTATTTACCAAGCAGCAGAATGGCCTCATCACCCTTGTGATACTTGATGATCTGCAGTACTGCAGTACAGTTCTGTCATCCTCTCTTACTTAGATCATTGTTCACAGAAACAACACATTCAGTTTACAAGTTTCTCTTACAGAATCAAAAAGACCATTGTGGCAGGCTATAAACCTGTGATATGAAATGTGCTTCATTCTGCTGCTTCAAAACTTTTCCAAATAGGTTAATTTTCTCCCAGTCTTTATGTAGGACCAGATGTCATCTGTCAGCATTTCTGAAAATTTAGGAGTCTAAAGTCCCCAGAGGTTTTTTTTTTTTTAATGCACCAACTTCCTCCCATTGTTAATGTCTCCTGTTTGTTAATTATTTGCTATAACTGAAAGCTTTTATAGTAGGCTCTGAATCTTCTGCTGTTTGCCAAAGGCCTGAAGAATTATGTGTCATATTTATACATAATTCTGTTTCTGCCCCACAAAATTTTCCTATAACTCTAATTATACAGCCATGAGGAGTATATCCAGATGTTCTAGGGGAGGACAAAATATAGTGGTTGCCACTAAAATTATACAGCTATGTACTAAAACAGGGCCAATGTATACCTTTCAAGAGCTAGTGTTTTCAAAAACTGTTCTCCAGGTCCTTCAAAGAAATTCTCATAAATGGGAGGCAAAGAGTAAGAGAAGGTTTTATTATACTCTAAAGCTACACCCCAGTGCTGTTGTAGGCACAGAAGAGAAGGAGAAATTTGTGCAGCCAACTATTTCCTTCAAAATTCACTCTCTATCTTTTACTTATATTCTACAATTGATTAAGAAACAGCAGTGAAATATTCTCCAAAAAATGGTACTGCTCAGATAGCTCTGCATGTGGCAAAGAAAAAGAATATATTATGCTCTGCTTAAAAGAATGGGAGAGATTGAAAAGGAAAGAAGTACAAAACAAATAAGAGACGAGTTCATAAACAACTCGGACTCTGCAGATGTGCTGCATCTGTTTGTTTGTCCACTGGGGACACTGAGATAGAGAGATTAAGACATTTATTCAGAGATGGTTAGACAACTAGACCAGATATGCAAAATGCAGCTAAGTTGACTTAAAGTCCATAGCAATAATAGTACTATAACAAAGGGGTGAATATAATTCACTGTTGATGCATTAAACATGGAACATACATGCCATAAAACAGATCACAATCTTACAGTGGTGGAGTAAAGCAGGAACTCACCTTGCAAAGGATACCCACCATCAAATGAAATTTTAACCCATTTTAAATCTGTGAAAGATAAAATTGGTACTCATACAAATACAGCACCTTCCTAAATATTTTAAAGGAAAAGGTACAAATATCACCTGGTAGAAATATTGCTGATGTGAAGTTAAAAAGAAGGAAGCAAACATTAAAAGCTGTCATCCAAAAGAAATCAGTACTTTGACAATGACTAGTGAAAATGAGCCAAAAGCAAAAATAGTGTGTAACCCAATGGGTATAACATAGGGACCTTAGTATGGTCTTTAAAAATAAACCTAATCTATAAACTTTGTAAAGGAAGATAAAGGCCATAAACTCCAGTCTTTACAACTTAAAAAAAATTTTGTATTCTTTTAATTCTGTCTCTACCTGAAAAACAAGTAACCAATGAAAGTCACATCTTTGCAAGTAATTCCTCGCTATTGTCATAAATGGCTACAGTATGCAAAAAAATACATTTATTAGCAAAAATGCTTCTGGCTTTAATGTTCACTTTGGAAATATTGAGAAATGAAGCCTCATAATTTATTCATAAGATGAGAATTAATGCAGTCACTATTCCTGTCTTCTGATTAAGTGCTGTCTTGTAACCTAGTAGCACTGGAAATAATGACCAGATGATAATTTTCTGCAAATTGAGTCAATGAAGAGAATCTTTGATATGTGCAGTTACAACACTACTTGCCCAATAGAAATCACCTGGAGACCTATTTACAGCTGTGGAGACAATTTTCTTCTGTGTTTGTATGGGACAGTGCATACAGAAAGTCCATCTCTAATGTTGGGCTAATTCTCATTCTTCCACTGTGATAGTTAAGACAGTGGGAGATGGTGATGAAGGAACAAAAATCTACAACCTTAGAATAATGAAAAAAAGGAATTTAAGTTTTTTTCAGCTCATTCTCACTGATAATAGTGGGCAGAATTCATTGAACTGCTGAGCTGTAAATCCTCTGATGGACTTTCACATAGTATACAGGACAACAAAAGTGTATAAAAGTCTCATCACTGGTATCCTATCTTGCTAGAGGCTTCAATATAAAAGACAAGCCAAAGACACACTGGAAAAACTTCTATTACTATTGCCAGTTCAAGACTGGACTTGTGTAAGAACCCTCAGCAGATGAATCCAGAATGAATCCAGAATCCTTTATCATTAATCTAAGAAAAATGCAGGTCAGTTTCTAAAAGCTAGTCAGAAAGTATCTGGGATAGGAAAAATAAATAGGTACAAAGGTAAATTAGTAAAGAAAAATGCACAAACACATACATACATATATGTACAACACAGAGGTTCAGAAAGCATGCACAGTTGAAATGGAGTCACTGAAGCAAAGAAAAATCTCAGAGAATAGGAACTACACAATAGTTACTCAGTTAATGCATTCCACTACTTGTGGAAGGCGAAGGGGAAAAAAATGCAAGGAAGAAAAGCACAGAAGGACAGAAAAGTATTAAATGTTAAAGCAGAAAGTTGCCATTGCCACGGGGTGGGGGGAGAAAAAAAAAAGGGGGTTAGAATCAGCTTGAAACCTGAGGGTAGCCATTAGAGACAGGCAAAGAGTGGAAACCCACTACTTGTGCGGGTAGATGCGAAGCGGACCAGGAAGACGCGGCAGGTTGATGCGGAGCAGCGGCGCCGCCAGCCCTGCCCCGGGGCTCTGCCGGGCGGGTGCTGCGGGGGGCGGCGCTGCGGGGGCGGGCCCGGAGCGCGGGGCGCACCGCCGGGGCCGGGGCGAGGCGGGGCGCTGCCACGGGCTGGGCACAGGGATGCGCTGAACAGCGGGCGGATGATGGGGAAGGGAGCAGGGAGGGAAGGGGCTGCCGGAACCGCGGTGTTGCGGCTGCTGGCCTCGGGCTGGCTGCCCCGGGTGTGCCTCCAGCCAGAGCAGCCGCCGTGTGAAGACGGAGATCGTGCGGTGCGGTGCGGTGCGGTTCGGTTCGGGCAGCAGCCGCGGCTCCCGGCTCCCTGGCTTCGGCTTGCAGAGCGCGGGAGTAGGGAGGATCATCACCACTGGAGAGGAATAAAATGCATTACCAAAAAAAAAAAAAATCTTTAATAAACAATCTACTGGAAGGAGGATGGACAAGGGGATGACGAGAGGATGGGGTCAGAAAGTGGTGGATGGGAAAAACTGGTGGTTTGGATGAGGGGAGTAGGAGATCAGGGGACAGCACTCCCCAACGAATCCTCTTGCCTTCACGCTCCGGGGCAGAGGAGTGAAGAGGAGAAAATGAGGGAGGAAGGTGGAGAGGAGCAGGAGGAGGAGGAGGCAGGGGCGTACTTGCGCGCTTAGGGGTAGGGGCGAGCGGCAAGCAGCGGTGTGAGATGGCACTCGCATGAACACATATCCACATCATCTATACATCCACACGCGTCTGAGTAGGGGCGGGCAGAGCCTCCGCCGCCCCCCTGGGAGCAGCCGGGGGAGGCGCCTCGGTCCCCCCGCCGGGAGGGGGCACGGCAGGGCCGGGAGGGGCTCGCGGGAGCTGCCGGCGCGGATTCCTTCACCTGGGGCTCTCCATCAGTGAACGAGGATAGAAGAGGCGGTCGGGTCTGGAGAACTACCTCTGGATGGTTTAAAAAAAAAAAAAAGAAATAAAAAGAATAAGGAAAAAACCCAACTCTGCAATCCTCTGCTCCCCCAGGCTCAGCACCATAAGGGACTGCTATATTTGAGGCTGTCAGAAGGATGGGAGAGAGAGACTGAGAGTCAGGGCGAGAGAGACGGTGCCACAGCAGCGGTAAGTGTCTCTGCCGTTCCCCCAGCCAGGCAGTGATTTCCCTGGTTAGACTTTGGAGTGTGTGCAGATTATTCTTTTTAATATCATCGCGGCATCTCTGTGAGCAGTCTACTGTGAAGCCGGCAATGGTGAGAGATCCCGGTTTTGGGCTCCTACTGCAGGTTTATGTGTTTAGTGGTTTTTTGCTTTGAATTTTACGTTGAAATTGTTGTCATAATTGAGAAGAAAAGTTGAAGCAGAAATTACTGTGGTCTGCTCTGTGCTTCTTGTCATTTAACTAGCAAAACAGACTACGGCAGTGAATGAGTTGTGAAGAGAGATGTGAGGTTTTTGAAAAAAAATACATACTCCAGAGAATAAATGCCTGTTTCAATGTAGTATTTTTTTATGTTTGGGAGAGCTACCATACCAATGCTTGAGGTTGAATCAGGAAATAACCCAGCATATTGAGTTTATAGTGATTCACTTAAAGTTGTGTTGTTTTGGAGTTCAGAATGATACTTGGATTTGGCATAAACAATTATCTCTAGAATTAGAAAAGTATGGTGCCCGGACCATTATCCTTTGCTGACAGGCAGAAGAGATGAAATTATGTAAAGATGCACTGACTTTTCCTCTCTGATGTGAGGACAGTTGATAAAACTGTGTGGAATGTCCATGAACTGGCTAGAAGATGAACCGAGAGTTATTGGAACACAGAGCATGAAACTGTTTTTAAGATTTTTATATCAGGGAAAAAAAATCATCCATTACTGTATCTGTACTTTAGATGTTTAGTTTAATTCCTCTTGAGCACAGAAAATTCATACAACAGAAGTTACACAAGATAGTGTAATGTGAGGACTAAAGTTTTCTATGTGCTGCAATATTTCAGAAATGTAACAAAGTTTTTGCAAAGTAATTTTTTTTTTAAATTTTGAAAATAATTGTTTTACTTTCAGTTTTTTGGTGTTTGGTTTGTTTGGGGTTTTTTTTGGGTTTTGGTTGCTTTTTTTTTTTATTTATTTCAAATGAAGGACCTGGTGCTATTTTTTTTTCTGAGGAGTTATTCTTCTAGACTTCAGTGAGCTTTTGATGAGACCCTGAAGTTTGAAAGTACATATAAATTCCACACTCACTATTAACCAAAAGCTAAGGAGGGATTCTTGATAAGTAAAATTTCAGTGATATTTTCTAATTAATGAAAGTGCAATTAATTCTTGTAGAGTTATAGTACAACTCCTTCAGAAGTACTTTGTGGCAATCAATATTAACGCAAAATCAGTTCATCATTATTAATGTTGTTACAGTGGATATTGAAAGAATTAGCAATAACTGGACCATTACTTTAAAGAGCTATCAAATTATCTGTTAGAAATTCTAAAAGTATATTTAATAAATGTACTTTAATTATTATAGCACTTAGCTACAAAGTTTCAAAAACCCTTTCTCTCTCTTGTTGTAAGGGAAAACTCTTGTTTACTAATGTGAGGTATGCCAAAAGGAAGACAGAAAACTAAGATGTGAGCTATAGTAACTGAGGAATGTTTCATATACAGAGGCCCTCAGTGGTAATGTACTTTTAACTATGGCAGTGTTTAAGAGATGTGGTTAAGAAAACAAAGTCTAGGACAACAAGAAATATATTATGGAGGGTAAAGTGTTAAGAATCCTTGGAGGTGATAAAACTAAGTAGTTTTAGAAAGGGACTATTCAATATGTAATGCTTCTATTTCATATACTTACAGAGCAAATGCCCATGCAAAAAGTCAGAACTAGCAGAGCATGATATGAAACTGTGAAGATAGCTGTTGATAGTTGGGAGTATAAGAATGTAGATTTTAGTTTTATTGGTCAGTATGAAGCTGAAGGTCCTACTAGGTAAACATGTCAGGGGTAGGGATCTTAATTTCATTTTATAACGAGGGCAGATGTACTAAGAATGAAAACAGAAAATTAAAAAACCTGACTGGCTGAATCGTAGTTGAAAATTTGAAAGAAAGGAGCTTTGAAAACAAGTCTTAAGGAAAGATATCCTAGCAGGTAAGATAAAAGGTATGATTAAAAGCTCTGCTGTTAGGAAATAATAAAGAGCAACTTTAAGAAATGCGTAACTTGGAGGACTGTTAGCACAGATTTAATACAGGAAGGTCATGACTGGTAAATTTGCTTGAGTCCCCTGAATAAGTTGCTGACATGGTAAACTATTGGGGAATACGTGATATGATTTATGGGAGTTTCAGAAAATATCCAGTTCTGTGCTCCACAAAATATTGATTTGGAAAGTCAAATTTTTAAGGGATACTGGAATGAATTCAAACCTGACTTCGACATAGGGACCAGAGGGTGTCAGTAAAGGTAAAGAGCTCTGGATGGAAGGAGGAGGTTAAAAGTATGATGCTTTAAGTGACAGACTAAGATCCAGTTTTCCTTCTTGCTTGTTATAAACCAGGTATGTTCAAAAAGGGTAAATCTGATATGCTAGCAGTACAGAAAAATCTGTCCCACTAAACAGATTCAACACACTGGAAGTTTTCTGATTAGGTTAATGACAGGAATATTTATTTTAAATAATTAGTGCAAGTCTTTACAAAAGGCATCATAGAAAACTATATGTTAAATATATACATACCAAGGCATTGAGACCTCTGAGGTGGTTGGTTCATTGACATTGAAAAAAACCACAGTTCTTCAGAATGATTTTGTCTTTCTACACGTAGCCTGCAACACAGACCTTAGTTCCTCTGAATGCACTGCGTAATTTGCCACTGCTGGTCTGCTCCCTCCATATGCTCCTGCTAACTGCTTCTGCATTGCACTTTCTGTCAGTTTCAGAATAACCTCAATCATTTAAACATCTTCTTGTTCTCTAAAATACTAAACTGAAATCCATCGCAGTTTATACTGCATTTTTAATTTCCTGAGAATCAATGTCAAATAGATATTTGCTTGTTAATATTATATCAGTAGGTGCTTTACAGAATTTATTTTCCTCCTTCTGTGCATGGCTTCTCTGATGCTTTTTTCAGGGTCTGTTACACCCTGGATATCAACTTCTTAGCACTTTACAAGGGAAAAATACTCTTTCTAGAAGTGAGTCCCTACAGATTCTTATCTTCTGAGTGATTTTGATCAATCACACTATATTAGGGGATGGTGTCTTTTCAAAAATTATGAAGTTGTTAAAACTTGGTAAGAAATACTTTCTTATTTTACTTAAAGATTTAAAAGCCTCATACTGTGTATGTATGTATAGATGTGTTTATACACATGTATGAGAGCAATGATTCTGTGTCTTTGTAAGCTGGAATGGAAGCAACAGTAACATTATCTGATTAATGGAAGGAAATGTAATCTGTTTTTATAATTAATTTCTTGGGTGATTTATGAAAATATCATGAAGTGTGTGAACCTTTAGAAAATCTAATCTTTGCTTATGTGCTGCTGCTTTCTAAAAGGAAATTCAGGATGATTCACTGTACTTCATAAAGGCAACAAATCAATTCTAAGATGTTGCAAGTGGATATGTAATAAGGGAAATACAATGTCAGATTCTGTATGTTATGAATATAATAAAACACTAGAATTACCATCCATGATACAGCTGGTCTTCTTGATCACACATGCCTATACTTATTCTATATAGTCATCCACTTGGACTAGCTCCTAAGCTTACAGAGCCATGAGGTTATGTCAGAATAACAGAGTAATACATGCTGTCATGTGCTAGTTAAAACATCATAGCTCACCTCTTTACATCTCCTTCAGGACCAAACTTACACATCAGTCTTGGGAAAAATTGATAACTCCTCTCTGTTCCCATACCTAGAAATAGAAAATACATCAAACTCTTCTCATCCATCAGAAATCTCTTCTGGGAATTTCCTTTTTCAGCATGCTCTTAA